CTCTATCTATCTATCTATCTCCATACATCTCTCTCTTTCTCTATCCATCTGTTACTCTCTCTCTCTCTCTCTCTCTCTCCCTCTCTCTCTCTCTCTCCCTCCCCTCTTTCTCTCTCTCCCTCCCCTCTTTCTCTCTCTCTCCCTCCTGTCTCCCCAAGGCACTAGGTTCGACATTTACTCAGAAACAGACCAGAACATATAACACTACAGTGGGTGGTTGGCGCGTACACTGAGGTGGTTGCCTAATTCTTTCCTATTAAATATCTTGTGTCTTTATCTCTCCTCCCTCTTTTCTGTGTACGTCACTGTCTAGTAACACGTATAACTTTTTACTTATGTGATCTATTTGTTGTGAATATAATTGAACATGGCCCATGCCATGGCCAGATTCCCAATAATGCATTTCCTAGGTAAATAAGGCGATGGCAATTTCATCTCAGCTAACATCAAAGACCGTTAACAAATTAAAGTGGTACCCATTCGGGGTTTGAAAGGAAGAAACACAACAACAAAAACACACATAAAAAAATCATCACCAACATGGTGAAGAAAAAACATTGTATCAACCCAACTTTAAAAAAAAAAATTAATTAAAAAATAAAAATTAACAACAAACATCGATAGCCTACAACCCCTTCCACCACTAACAACACTTCCCATTATTTAAGTCCGCCTAAAAAAAGCAGGCTTTCCGCCGAATCGAAGCTTCAAACTACGGTATTCGGTCACCAAAAAAATCATTGCCACTGTCTATCCCTCTACGCTGTGCTTTACCACGATCACAGATTCTTGTTTTAGTAAGTTTTACGGCACTAGCAACACAATAAGGTCATAGAAGTGCCGAAGATTAGAGGTACTACAAGAGAGTAACAAACACAGAAAAGAAGGAGAGATAACGACGATAGATGTTTGATAGGAAAGAAGGAGCAAACCATACCACAGCACCCGCCAACCACCCACTATCACGGATTCATTCGTACATGAACAATCTAGGTCAACAGTAACCCGTAAAAAGGACGAGATGTTCAATTGTATAATTTTATTAAAAGTTTTACTTTGTTGGTTTGCCTGCTTGCTTGTTTTCTTGTTTGTTCGTTTGTTTGTTTGAGTAAAGAGAAACACATCAGTGCGATAACAGTCATTTATTAGTGCCGAAAAAAAGCAAGACAGACAGATAGACTGAAACAACAAAGTGAAAGAAAAGAAGTAGGCACCCTCAAACCATACACACAAAGAGTTTCACGGCTACACAAAATAAGGTCATATAATAAATGCCGAAGAATTGACTTGTTACTTGACAGTAACATTCACAGAAAAAGAGAAGAGGTAACGACGACAGCAGAATGATGTTTGATGGGATAGAAGGAGCAAACCACAACAGAGCACCCACCAATCACCCATAAAGACAAGAAGAAGCTGACCACATCAGGAGCGCGAGACAATTAATATGGCACCCAAACCGAGATATACATGTAATGCTCCTGTCATACCACAAAGTATGAAGCCAAATGTTTGCTAATGCCACCATACACTTTTGAATTTAAAAAAAGAAAAAATACATTGTACATTCAAACGGGTAAGTAATCGCCTTGCAAACTCGCCGTGCTTGAAACACAACCCCTAGCGCGTTCATTGAATGCCGGGGCTACATAATCAATCCTTCGCGGGCCGCCACATCTGTGTGTGTATAAACAGAAATGGAAACAACACACACAGATGGTGGCATTCGTTGTGTATGTGTGTGTGCTAACGTGTAAGCAAAGCGTACGCGTGCACGTGTCCATAAATGCATGTGTCATGTGTAAGTGTGTGTGTGTGTGAGTGTGTGTGTGTGTGTGTGTGTGTGTGTGTGTGTGTGTGTGTGCGTGTGTGTGTG